TATTTTATCTTCCCGTCCCCAATGCCCAGTACCGTACCCAGAATGTCGGCTAACGAAATCAGCGCGTGAAAAAATGAATAGATGGATGAATGAAAGGCTGAGCGGCGAAAAAGAGGGCAGAAATTGCCGGGAGGTGGCTCGGCGACGCCCGAAACAGGCCTCCCAACGAGAGCACATGGGGGAACCTGGGGAGCGCTGCCGGACTCGGCACCGGAGGCTGCAGCGGGGACGCGGTGGGGGCTTCCCCGGGCGACCGCGAGGCGCCCCGTCGCGCCTCGAGGGAGCGTCACGCCGGACAGGAAGCGCGGGGTGGGAGTGGGGGGGCGCGGGGGGACGCCCCGAGGGGAGAGGGGAGGAAAGGAAAGGGACTGGGTGAAGAGACGCGAGGCCGGCGCCGAGAGAAGGGGTGAGGCACCGTCCCCCTCCTCGGACAAGTCGCCTCAGATCTCCGCGCGCGGGGACCGTTTGGACGTAACTGCCTCCTGTCCCGGCGCCTGTCCATCTAGCCGGCCTTCGCCCGGCCACCGCCGCCACATCACGCCCCCAACTCCCGCCCAGCTTCAGCTCTGCTTGGACCCGCCGCTTCACAACCACCCCCGCCGAGTCGGCCCGCTCCGCACCTCACACACGGATCATCGGCGGCCGCCGCCATCTTCGCGCGCGCGCGCGCCCCAGCCCCGCCCCCAGACGCCACGCCCACGTGACCACGCGCCTCCAGGGCGTGGAAGGGGCTTCTCGTCACGTGACGGCGGGGCGGGGTTAAAATGGCGATGCCCAGAGAGGTGAGGAAACCCGGGCGAGGGCAGCGGAGGCAGTGAGGCAGACGGCCGAGGGCAGACGTCTGCGCCGTAGGTAGGAAGCTCCCAGGCGGCAGAGAGTTCTCGCAACTGGAGAACGGAGATAGGTCCTGGCTGGGTGAAGCTACCGCTGTCTGCCTGGCGGGGCTTAAGCGGCCGAGAGTCCAAAGCGTCCCTTGTCACCCCGGTTTTCCGCGGTCCCAGGTCTAGAGAGATGACTCGAGAGTGCGCTCCGCCGGCCCCTGGGTCCGGGGCTCCGCTAAGCGGGTCGGTGCTGGCAGAGGCGGCAGTGGTGTTCGTAGTGGTGCTGAGCATCCACGCAGCCGTGTGGGATCGCTACTCGTGGTGCGCTGTGGCCCTCGCAGTGCAGGCCTTCTACGTCCAATACAAATGGGACCGGCTGCTACAGCAGGGAAGCGCTGTTTTCCAGTTCCGAACGTCGGCAAATAGTGGCCTACTGCCCGCCTCGGTGGTCATGCCGTTGCTCGGGCTGGTGATGAAGGAGCGCTGCCAGGCTGCGGGGAACCCATACTTTGAGCGCTTTGGAATTGTGGTGGCGGCCACTGGCATGGCAGTGGCTCTTTTCTCATCAGTACTGGCACTGGGCATCACTCGCCCAGTACCCACCAACACCTGTGTCATCTCAGGCTTGGCTGGAGGTGTCATCATTTATATCATGAAGCACTCGCTGAGTGTAGGTGAGGTGATCGAGGTCCTGGAGGTCCTGCTGATCTTCGTCTACCTCAACATGATCCTGCTGTATCTGCTGCCCCGCTGCTTCACCCCTGGAGAGGCACTGCTGGTATTGGGTGGCATCAGCTTCATGCTCAACCAGCTCATCAAACGCTCCCTGACTGTGGTGGAAAGCCAGGGGGACCCGGTGGACTTCTTCCTTCTGGTCGTACTGGTAGGGATGGTGCTCATGGGCATCTTCTTCAGCACCCTCTTTGTTTTCATGGACTCAGGCACCTGGGCCTCCTCCATCTTCTTCCACCTCATGACCTGTGTGCTGGGCCTTGGCGTGGTCCTGCCCTGGCTGCACCGGCTCATCCACAGGAACCCCCTGCTCTGGCTTTTTCAGTTCCTCTTCCAGACAGAGACCCGAGTCTACCTCCTAGCCTACTGGTCTCTGCTGGCCACCTTGGCCTGTCTGGTGGTGCTATACCAGAATGCCAAGCGGTCATCTTCTGACTCCAAGAAGCACCAGGCCCCCACCATTGCACGGAAGTATTTCCACTTCATTGTAGTAGCCACCTACATCCCAGGTATCATCTTTGACCGGCCACTGCTCTACGTGGCCGCCACCGTATGTCTAGCGGTCTTCATCTTCCTGGAGTATGTGCGCTACTTCCGCATCAAGCCCCTGGGCCACACTCTGCGGAGCCTCCTGTCCCTCTTCCTGGATGAACGAGACAGTGGACCACTCATCCTGACCCACATCTACCTGCTTCTAGGCATGTCTCTTCCCATTTGGCTAGTCCCCAGACCCTGCACACAAAAGGGTAGCCTAGGGGGAGCGAGGGCTCTAGTCCCCTATGCAGGTGTCCTGGCTGTTGGTGTAGGTGACACTGTGGCCTCCATATTTGGCAGCACCATGGGGGAGATTCGCTGGCCTGGAACCAAAAAGACTTTTGAGGGGACCATGACATCTATATTTGCCCAGATCATTTCTGTAGCTCTGATCTTAATCTTTGACAGTGGAGTGGACCTAAACTACAGTTACGCTTGGATTTTGGGGTCCATCAGCACCGTGTCACTCCTGGAAGCCTACACTACACAGATAGACAATCTCCTTTTGCCTCTCTACCTCCTGATATTGCTTATGGCCTAGCTGCTGTGCAGCAGCAATGGAGGAAACAGGGACATGGGGAGGATGAATGATCCCCACAGCAGCCAGCCACTTAGGCAGGAAGAGCCAAGGACTGAGAAGCAGATTTAATTTTTTCAGTTGAATAGGATTTAAAATAAAAATCAAAGCTCTCCTGGTTTTAGTTTTGCTGATATTTAAAAAGCAAAAAGGCTTTAAGGATAGTGCAACAGTCCAAAAAGCTTGAGTATGCTGCAGGGCCCCTCTCACCTAGCCATCCTCAAGGGTCTGGAGTGGACAACAGAGGCAGTAGGGCATAGTGGTTAACGCCTCAGGTTTTGGTGTCAGACTCATCTGGTCAGAATCCTTGGCTGTACCACTTCTTAACTGGGTGAGTTGTGTAATCACTCTGCCCTCAATTCTACTGTCTGCAAGATGGGAATAGTAAGAGGCTACACCTCACAGGGTATTGTGAAGATCTGATAAGATAACGTGTGAAATTTCCAGCCCAGGGCCCGCACATAATGAGCAGTCAGTAAGGGAAAGTGTCGTTGTTACCCAAGGCCAGTCGTCATCTCAGCAAAGAGCCAAGCAAGCCAAAGGGTTATGTGGGTTGTACTTGGAGACCAGAATGATCTTACTCCCCTGATTTCATTTGGAGGAGAATCCAAGAGGAAAATAGCCAGGTTTGTGTGGTTTCTCCCGTTTGGGCTAGGAAGAGCTGAAGGGGAGAGGTGGGATCGGCTTGGGGCATCCCTGGAAGGGCTGGAGAAAGAGGATCCCACCCTGGGCTGACTACCTGTTTCAGCCAAACCCTACCCTGCCTCAAGGTCTCTGCTGCCTGGCTGAGTGGTACTGATTTACAGGCCAGACAGCACAGGGCTCTTGTCAAGGGATCCCTCCTGAGACTTGTCATACTCCAGTCACGTACACACCTGTGTTTATCTCTTCTATGGCTTCTAAGAAATTAGAGCCAGGGGGGCCAGTGAAGTTTACTGAGAGTTCAGAATCGCTCTCCGGCGGGAAGGACCCATGCTCCAGCCTTGCTCTCTGGGAGGATGGGGTCCAGGTCTGCCTGGTTCCCCACCACAGTCCCCAGTGCCAGCACAGCCTGCCTGGCACGTAGCGGGAACTCAGTAGACCTTCACTGAATGGATGGACATCTCCCATCCGTGAGAAGACAGCACAGCAGGTTTCTAAAGGCCAGCCTGACAGGGAGGGGCCTAGCAGGAAGAGATGAGAACTTTGGCCCACCAAAGCAGAAGCCAGGAGCTAAGCTCTAGGGAGCCTGTGCTTCTGCCTGGGCATCACTGCCAAGCCATTCCCCTCCAAAGACAGTACTAAGACATTCCTTTTTGGCCCAAAGGAGACTGAACAAACCCTTCTCTTTGCTCTGGCTCCCGACTACTGCTTGCTGAAGGAGGTAGCAGCATGTTAGGGAAGAGGACAGACTTTGCCTCACTGACTCCCCGGGTGGCCTTGGTTTGTCCACATATACAATGGGGGCTGGATATCAGGGTCAGAAATTTATAAGGCTGCTGAGGCCAGGCAGGTAACGCAATGAAAGAGGATGGGGAAGGGAAGCCGAGAGCACACCGGCCTCTAAGGAGGCAGCTCCAGTCAGTCGTCGCCTAGGGTAGACCACAGGTCCGGGCCGTTGACCTGCTCCTTCGAGGAAGCTTAGAAACCTGGATCATTATGTGAGATCTCCCAATTTTGAAAAGTTTTTTTGTTGTTAATGCTGAGGCCCAGACAGAACACTTCTGCACTGTGAAATCAGCTGGTGGCCCCCAGTTTGCAACTTCTGGGCCGAACGCCAGCTCAGCAGGTTTTGGATTTGGTAGTTGTTCCTGCAGGTCTGGGTGCCTGCCCAGCATGCCCCAGCAGGAGGGACCTGTACAGGTCCTCATCCAGCCCCCTGATCATGGAGGTGGTAAAACGAGCCAAGAGAGAAGGGCCTGGCCTGAAGTGGGAAAGCGAGTTGGTCACAGAGCCAGAGCAGAATCTAAGACTGGATTCCGGGCCCTGGTCTCCTTCCCCCCTGCACACACACACACCCAGGAAAGGAGAACTGGGAGCGTAGAGTTTGGAAGCACAGGCTCAGGATCCGGCTGACCTCACTGAACACCTGGGCAGCTGTGTGACTTGGGCAAGTCACTTAACCTTCCTGTGCCAGCTTCTTCATCCGTAAGCACAGAAAGTAAGAGCACCTACCTCAAAGGTGTGAAGATCCAGTGAGATAAAGTATGTTACGCTCTTGGCACCATGAACGCCTACTAACGTTACTGACTGTTAGTAACATGATGCAGACCTCACCAGGCAGGGCTGGGGCACCTGGGATGATTTGCAGCCGGGCTGTCGAGTGCATGACTGCTTGGGAAAGGAGGGTCAAGACGCTGCGTTCAGAAGTCATTTTTATTCAGTGTCTCATGCTGTAATAAGCACGAGTTTCATCTGAGAGGAGAGGAGGATAAGAAGCCAGCAGAGAAGCAGCCAGAACCCTTTCATGGCTGAGAGGCCGCCTCGAGGGGGAGGTCATGTTGGGGCAGGGGGAGGCAGAGACAGAGATCGTAGGAAAGGCACCCCGCCCGGACTCCCGCTGCCTGGCAGCCACCTCGTGCTTGCCTGTCTGCACAGACACTGGCAGAAGGAAAGCCCAGGAGGGGAGATGCGGCTTTCTGGCTACAGCCAGGTAGTCAGGTGAGGCGCTGGTGTTGGCAGCCCACAGCTTCCCCGAGGAGGGGACAGCACCTTGGCCCTGAGAGGGCCTTCAGGTGTACAGCGGGGGAAAGGACAGCTCAGCTGTCGGCTGGAGCCTGCAGAGGATGGGGAGATGCCTTGAGGTGCTGGTAGCACTGCTCCTAGCCTCCAGGACCTCTTCGGGAGACTGTTTGGAGCAAACACACACCCTGCCACCTACCAATTCTCCGGGCTCCAGACGGTGCCGGCAGCCTCCATGATGTGGAAAGTATAGGCCTGTCGCGAGTGGTCGGAGAAATTCTGCTCACTCTTGTGCACCACTTCGCCGTGGATTAGGACGAGGGCCCCTGGTGGGGATGCAGAAGATCAGGAGAGCACTCAGGGCAGGAAGGGACATGGTGGGCACCCTCCTCCCTCAAGCAGTGCTGTGGCCTATTCGTCCGCATTCCCATCCCTGGAAGCTCGGGCCTGCAGCCTGCCCCAGCATGAGAGGCTTATGCTGTTGGATGTAGGTTCCCCTGGGATCAAGTCCCTTCTGCTGTGGCCTGTGCCCTTAGCAAGGCTAAGCAAGGGCATCCCCTTCCATGGTATTTGCAGAACCAGGCAGAAGCTCTCTGTCTCGTGCCAGCCAGCTGGGGCCTCACCCATGAACTTGGAGTTGGGGCTCAGTCTCCCTTTTTAAAAAGGAAGGGAGTGCTGACAGCCAGCATTTGTGAGCACTTGTCGTGCACCACCTTCCTTGTCATCTCTCTGGCTTCCCCACTTTATGTCTGGGGAAACGGAGGCTCAGGAAGTCTCAGTCATTCGCCCAAAGAAGAGGGGAGGGTATAGCTCAGTGGTAGAGTGCATGCTTGGCATGCATGAGGTCCTGGGTTTAATCCCTAGTACCTCCATAAAAAAACAAAGTTAAATGACCTAATTACCACCCCCCCCAAAAAAAAAAACCCAAAATACTAAATTTGCCCAAAGAGACAGTCTGGAAGTAGCAGCATCTGGATTCCAGCCTGATCTGGGAGACCCTGCTGTTCATCACACAGCTTTCAGTCTTCCCAGTGCCCAACCAACCCAACCTTCTCTCACTCTGACTTTACAACTCTCAGGTGAACTGGGTGGTCAGAGCAAGCACAGAGCCCTGGCCATGGCCTCCGGGCCCTCCTCTGCGCCCTCTGCGCCCCACCTACCTCTCCGCACTGGTGTGGGCACAAAGAGGCTGTTATCCCGGGCTGGCTCGGACCCAAGGAAGCTGGTGCCAGGCTCTGAGCCAGCAGGGGCCCGGACCATCCTTCTAGACACTCCCCCTGCAGGCCAAGATGGGGCTTTTAGCCTCTCTTTTTATCCCCCGCCGGGTCCCTCCCCCATGAGGCGTGGGGGACGAGTGGCCAGGGAGAGACAGATGTCCTCACCAGTGTGGGAGCCAGGGATGAACCAGAGGCAGCCGTTCTCCAGCGTGGCATCCTCCAACGCAATCCACACACCCAGCACCCGGCCCAGGGGCTCCGTGTACAGGAAGGAGGCATCCTGGTGAGGGGTGACTGCAGCAGGCCCACCTGGGCATGAGGAGCCCAGCCCCACCTCACCTTGGCCTTTTCTATTCCCTCCTCAGTCCTCTCGGGACCCTCCAGGCCCAGCCTCCTGTGATCAGTTAGAATTTCACCACTTCCTGGCCCAGAGATTCTGGGCAAGAGATTTCACCTCTCAAAGCTTCAATTTCCTAAACCACAAAGTAGCCCCCATGATGACCTAACCTTGTGGGGTTGCTGGAGGATTCCATGAGACAGTTTACAAAAAGTGCTTCGTACAGGGCCCAGTGTAGGAATTCTGGCTAAAAAGCAGCTGCTAGTGTTTAATTCCAGCCACGTAACTAAAGCCACTATCCTTAACCAGGGACAGCACCTCCAGCCACCAGATGATGCAGTGTGTGCCACCAACGGTGTAAGACTGGGAAGTTGGGTGTGAAGGGAGGAGGGGCACTGACTGAGCACCTACACTGTAAACATCCCCTGCGTGATGCTGGGGCCCAGGCAGGGTGGAGGACCACTGAACAGAGCGCCTTAGTCTGTAATGACAAAAGAGGGTGCTGATCTCGCCTGGTTTCTTCTTGGGGAACTATGTGTTTTCTGAGCCCCAGACTTTAAGAGGAGCTTTGACACTCCAGACAGTGTCCAGATGAAGGTGTCCTAATTTGGGGGAAGCATTTGGAGGAGGAATGGCTGGAGGAAATGGGGGTGCTGAACTGAACAGAGAAGACTCAGGCAGGGGACAGTCACCCCTCCAGGAGACTGTCCTCAGGCTGAATGGCAGGGAGGAGGGGACCTCACAAGGGGGCTGATGTATGCTCATGCAAGGAAAGAAAGAGCTGCCTGCAGCAGATAAGCCCTCTATCCCTGGAGGTACTGGAGAGAAATGGATCATCACCCACGGGGGAGGCTGGAAAGGGTGTCTGTGTATCCCGTGGGGTTTATAATTAGATCAGCAACTTCTATGCTGAATCAGTCCCCTAGGGAACTTGTTAAAATACAGATTCCCAGCCCCATGCCACCGTCCTGACTCAAGAGCTCGGGATTGGGGCCCAAGAATCTGTATTTTTAACCAACTAGGCTTTGCTGCCAGGTTCGGGAACCACTGTTTCAAGGGCTCTGGGACGCCCTCCCACTCCACTCAGGAAGGCGCAGAAAGTGGCATGGCTTCTCCCACCTCCCCGGCCCAGGCTCTCACCCCTGGACATCACAGCAAGTACCATCCCTCCCCCTGAAGATCTGACAATCGCTGAAGTCCCAGATCTCCCACCAGGCCTTTGTTGGGCCCCCCAGCCTGCTTCTTGGCTCACCTTCGCCTCCAAAGTGAGGTTGCTGCAAGAGAGAGAGAAGGGCTGGGTGAAGCTGGGGAGAGCAGGAGGCACAGAGGCTGCTCTGAGTCATCTGAGTGGAGTGCTCTTCCCCGGCCACGGGTGTTTATTTCCAAGGATTCCAGGTCAGCACCTAGCTATCAAGCACCTACTGTGTGCCGGGCCCAGGAGGGCTGCAAAGCGGAAAACCACCCTGCCCGGGGATGCTTCCAGTCTGAGCACATGTATGCCTAGTAAGAATGCAACAGAAGTGAGGGGCGGCAGGAGAGCCTGGGGCGCAGGCCAGCAGTTAGGCCTCTGGGCTCCAAGGTCAGGGATTGGTCCTCTCTTCCCAAGGGAGCTGGAAGGCTTCTTGAAGGAGGTGGTACTGAGCTGGCCCTTGAAAGTTGGGAGCAGAGCACTTCAATAGCCAGTTAAGGGAGGAGGCAGCCCTGGGATCCCCTTCCCTTCTGCCATCAAATTTTAACCTGAGCTAAGTGCCCGGCACCCTCATCAGAGGGGACCAATTTTACATGTTATCCCACCAACTTAATAATTCCTCAGGGAAGCAGCTTGTGGCCGATGTAAGGACGGGCTTGGTATAAGCACTGTGCCCATTTTACAGAGGGTAAACCAAGGCCTGGGGAGGATGGGGAGCTCACCTTAAAGATATACATACTCTGTACCACCACCGGCATCTGGAGGCCCAGACTTCTGGCCAAGGCCTGGAAGGAGGCAGAGGTCACACTGCCAGCCCACCCACATTCGTATCTGGCCCAGCCACCCAACCTCACTGACACCTCTGCTCACCTGCACCTTGGGGGAGTGTGTGACACACCTGAAGACAGGGTCATGGGCATGCAGAGCTGCAGGACAGAGGGGGACTGATGAGCCAGTCCCCAGACCCCATGCGTCCCTCCCACGCCTAGGCCTGGGCACCGAGGTCAGGCCGCAGTTTGATATTCTCACCGATTTTATGTGCATTAAGCTTTCTGCTAGTTTATAATCAAGGAAGGGGCCCCACAGAGGCCTTCATCCGACTCATGACCTTTTTACTGACCTTCTGGCCCTGACTGCCTGCCCCTCAAGGGACAAAGGACTCCAAGGTGGCAGTCTTGGTACTGCCGCTTACTCTGTGCCACGTTGAGCACCCATTTCTGTCCCATAAGCCTTAGTTCCTTCCACATACAACAGGTCTAAAAGGCTGGCCCTGCCTCCTGGGCTTCCAGTTACCCCATGGGCGAATGGATATGCAGCCACAGCCCAGGGCCAGGCACGGAGCAGTCACTATTTACTACTGTTGTTATTACAAAAAGTGAGGGTCAAACGTTGCTTCATGCCACTGAATGGTACACTTCAAAATGGTTTCAATGAAAAATTTTATCTGTATCTTACCACAATTTGTCAAAAACAAAGCTACCATGATATAACTTCAAGTTTAAAAAGCAACTATAAAATAAATGATAATGCATAATCCTGAAAAAAAAAAGAGAGGTTTTTGTAGGTTGGTTTTGGGGGTCTCAGAACAGGTCCATGTCAACATGTTAGATGCTCCTTAAGGAGGCTCCAGGAAGCAGTGAGACCCAGAAGCCCCAAGTGCCTGGTGCATGAGTCATCCCCAGGCCAGGCAGTAGAGAGCTGAGGGGTCTGCACACACCCATCTGCGTGGGGGGCTCAGGGGGACCCCTGTTCCCAGTGCTGTGGTGGCAGAATCATGCAATTAGCATCATAAGATGCAGAAATGCCATTTGCTGGGCCACAAACTTCCTGTGCACTTTGGAGTAAGGCCCTTAAACTCTTCAGACCTCAGTTTCCCCCAAGCCTCTGCTTACCATGGCCAATTTTGTTGATGGATTTCTCCGGAGGGACCAGGAAGTTTCCTGTGGCACAAGGATGCAGACCAGTAAAGGCAGCTGGTCTCAGTGCCCACCCCCCAGCCCCGGGGGACAGAGACCCAAGTCCAGCCACCCCCACCTCTAGGGCTCCAGCTCCAAACCTTTCTTATCAAAGACACCTTTCTCAAAGAAGAACCGAATCTTGTCACCACTGCTCAAGAAATAGTCTGTGCTGCCCTGTGGAGAGAGAACATCAGAGGGACTGAGAGAGCATGATGGGAGCAGAGGTGGATCTGGCTGAGAAGGAAGAGGATTCAGGTGCCCCCCCCAACCCCAAAGCTACAGACTCCACTGGTGCTTCTCAAACTTGTCCAATGCAGCACAAACAGTGAACGGGAACTCCAAGTGCCTGGAAGCACAGCTGGAACCTACAAGCATGGAATTTCTAGGAGACCTCTTAACAAGTCACCCGACTCCTGCTCAACAGGGCAAAAGTGACAGGTATTAGATCAAACAGGCCTGGATCCCAGGTAGCCTCTGTTTCCTCATCTGTAGAAGGGGAAATAATAATAGAACTGACCTCCCCCGGGCTGTTGGAGGCTTCAGGTAGAGGCTGAACCTTATAACGACTGAGAACACAGACCCTGAAGCTAGAATACTCGGGTTCAAATCCCAGCTCTGCGCCTGACTGGTTGTGACCACAACCATATCACTAAACCTCTCTGGGCTTAGTTTCCTCATAAAATATAGAGGTTATTAATGGCATCTGTCTCATAGGGTGAGATTGTAGGGATTATGTGTTAGTACATATAAAGCGCTAGAACAGGGGGCAGGGTATAGCCCAGTGATAGAGTGGGTGCTTAGCATGCACGAGGTCCTGGGTTCAGTCCCCAGTTCCTCCACTGAAATAAATAAATAAATGATCCCTCCTGCCCCCCCAAAAAAGGAAAAAGAAAGAAAGCACTAGAACAGTGCTTGGAATATGCTGTCATGTGAATATCTGCTTTTTATTATTATAGTAATATCATAATATTATTATTACTACTGCTGCCAGAGACAAACACACAGAGAGGGCATGGCTAAATGCTCGATAAATATAAGCTATTACTAATCTTCTCCTTTTTCCTGCATAACTTCTCCTTGTTAATTTTATCATGCTTTAAATTTCTTAGCACCGTATGAAAATGATGCTGCAGAAGATGCCCCAGGTTTTCCTTGTGGCTTCAGCCACCCTTGATCACCACATATATGTTTCTTCGTTTGTGGTGACATCCCTAACTTGTGCACAACTGCTGTCACGGGTGCCTGCATGGCTCAACTCAGAGACCCACCTGGCCCTTTCAAAGCCCTTCCCACTGAAAACTGAAAGGTTGGTTTTTTTTTTTTCCCAACATTCTTAGCTCCTCTGCACTAGGATCAGAGTGAGGGAAACAAGTCTGGGATGCAGAATTGATAATAATATCAAAGACAATGATGCTATATGCGTGTCAAAGATGTTAGTTAACTTGGTAATTCACAAGGGAACCAGCAGCAGGTCCAAAGAAGAATTCTAAGAACCACACAAATACAGGTAATAAGAAACAGTGAAATGAATTTACAAATCAGTGCAAAACTGATCTAGCCACAAAGGCAATAATTGCATTCTACCTGACCCAGTTAATAGTCATTTCTGTAGACAAGTATCATGTGAGTTATTATCAGTTCTATGCAACTTACAAAGCTGTCAACTCACTCAAAGACAATGAAAGGTGCAGGAAAGCTGGAAAGGAGAGCTAGACAGGACACCCACTGATTTTTTAAAATTTTAATACGCATTTCAAAGTCTTTCACCGTATCAGTAGTGAATATTTAGTAGTGAATATTTACTGAATGCCAGTGCAGCCAAATGAAACCGACTGCTTGGAGCAAACAATCTTTCTGTAATCCTTTTTCCTTCTGAAGTCCCCATCCTCTGGGTTGTCTTCCAGTCACTGTAATTCCCATCATGCCCACCAGATGGCAGAAGCTACTTGCCATGAGTTTGAGTGAATCCCATTTTTGAGCCTGGACCAGTTTTGGCCTGGGGGCCCAGTCGCAGGCAGGCTCATAAATTCATACTATGAAAAGTTAAGAGAACTGTGTGGGAGAGCCCCTGGGTCTCAATTTACCCATCTCAAACTGTACTGAGTCGAACTAGGTCACTGGGGAAAAGAAGCAGAGTTCCTTGTCTCACTGAAAGATGACCCAGGTGGACCCCTTAGAATCACTTGGCTCGTTCTGGGTTGCTGGCCACAGAGGCCCTTTGTGGCAAGAGACCTTCTAAGGAAATTCGGCACAGCAGTAACACCATGAAATTTGTATCAGGCGGATCTGGGTTCAAATATTGGCTCTGTTAGTCCCTAACTGTGTAGTTTGGGGCAAATGAGCCGAGCCTCATTTATCCCACCTGTCAAATGGGGGCAGTAACGCTGGCCTTATACATTCATAGCAGGGAGTGAAGGGAATAAGCAGAGAAGACACATGGAAGACACATGGAAGGGATCTGATTCGTTATCAGAATGACCCCGTGGGCCTTGGGACCCTAACTTTCCAGGCTGCTGCTCTGGCTGGGGACTGAGCTCATCAAAGTCCAAAGCCCCATCCATACCTGCTCTAGGCACCCACCTGGGCTCGCAGCTGCTCCTCTTCCTGGGTGGAAAATTCCGTGCGGCAGTGGAGTGGGACATCCATCTCGGCCACTATCTCGCCGATTCTCTGTTGCATGGCCATACACTCGTCTGCAGACAAGAATCCTTCCAACACCAGGAATCCATCCTCCTGGAACTGTAGGCAGGAAAGAGACTTTGGCTTCCCCCTGCCCTCAGACATTCTTTATGAAGACTGATTTGACTCCTCCCCAAACCTGAAGCTGTGTGAAGGCAGGACCAAGCGTCCTGTTCATTGTTCTGTCCCCCTCCCTGGCCATGGTGTCTAGCGCCCAGTGAAGAACAATTGGTGTTGGCTGCTTGAATGAAAGAACGGAGAAGGAGAAGGGGAGGTGTCCCCACCTTTACCCTCCAGTGGGCTTGGGTCACATCGGAATACAATCTCATTCTTTTACTCAACTAATATTGACAGCATCTACCATGCATCAGACATGGTTTTAGGAGCTGGAGAATCAGTAATGAGAAGCCAGCCATAATGCCTGCCTCCCAGAACTCGCAGTCTACGGAAGGAGACGTACATCAAACAAACCAGGTGAACTTACCACAAGTCAACGAAGTATGGTGTATCTACCTGGAACGCACCACCGCTGATAGGAAAATATTTACTGACATGGGGATGTGTTCCAGATATAGTGTGAGTTTTTTTCCCTAAAGCCAAATGTATATTAATACCCTAATTTGTGGGAACTTTCGCAGGTGCTTTCCCCTCTCTGGCCCTCTCTGGCCCTCTCAGACTATCAGATGGGGAGCACAGTAGTCCCTCTTTTGTAAAACATGGCAAGCACTCAATTAGGGCAGTTACTGTGATGGATCTTTAGAGATTCAAGGGCTGTAAGCCAAAATATGAAGTCTCAGCATTGGAATTTATAGGTGGTTTTAAATGTTCTTTTTTGTGCTTTTCTGGGTTTTTTTCTTTTTCATTTTTCCCTTGCCATCAGGAACAAACAAGGATCATGTTTTTGAAGTCTCCTTCGGTCTCATTCCCATGGGTTAGCCTTTAGAGTTTGAACATGGTTCCCCAGCCACCTACCCCTGGCTAGGGGTGTGTCAGAGGTGGGGTGGGGTGGGTGCATCTTCTCATCCACCCCTTACCAGATCCCCTTGCCCTGTCCCTGGATGACAAGATCCTGTGTTTTATCCTGATTTCTGTCACATACACATTCTCACCCCACCCCAGGTCCCATGGCCTGGACACCCCTGGTTGCATGTGCATTAGTTAGGGGTCGTTACTGGGAACTGACCACTCCAGTTTCCTCTTCTGAAAAAATGGAAGGGGGTGGATTTGAGTTCCTGGGGACGACTCCAACTCTGGAGGGTCTCCCCACTTTGCCTGACCTTCTGGGTCCCCACCCAGCAGGCCCCTACCTTCTGAAGCTGTGAGGGGCTCAGGCAGGCCATGAGGATGAGGCAGGGCGCTCTGCTGGCTCTGGGTTCTGTGCCCAGTGCTGGAGAGGAGAAAGGTCAGGAGGGGAGAGTGGCCGGAGCCTGGGAGGCGGAGGACTTAACCCTTCCCTGCCCAGAGATAAGCCAATCCTGGGCCCCCAGCCCCTCCCCCGCCCCGGCACCATCTCACTTCTGTCCTTGGATAGGGCCGCCCTGGCCTCTGCCTCAGCCCCACACCCTGGGTCCATCGCCACAGCTAATCCAGGATTAGCCATTTCTGATCTCCTCCCTGGTTTTTAACTGCTCCCTTCCAGTTTCTTTCCAGAAAGCACTCCCAGCTGGCTGTTTACCAGGTGCCCAGAAGACGTGTTCTAGGAGTGTCTGGGCAGGCAGGGGGACACTTGAGTCCCAGTCCCCTAGGTGCCACCATTAACTGTGACCTCCGGCCAACGTCTGCCCCTGTCTGGGCCTCAAGCAAGGATTAGAAAGCGCCCAGACCACCAGCATCTACTGGTCTGGGTGAGGTGGGCCACAGGGTGGGACTGGGCCAACAGATAGGCCCTGAGTGGTTTTGCATTCCAAAGGTAGAAGGGGCCTCAGAAGAAGGTTGTCTGTCCCCCTCGGCCTCTGCCCCTCCAGCTCTGATCCTCTGAGACTCTCTAGGTCTTGAGAGGATTATGGAAGGCAGCTTCGGGATCTGCCTGCAGCTCAGAAGAAGGGAGAAGATAAGGGGGATCTTAGAAAGGGGAAGGGGCTGGAAAGTGGGGGCCTGGGTCTTCAGAATGAGGGGGAGAGAAGCTGTAGTTCCCGTTCCCCACCCCCAGGCCCAAGATGTCGGGTCTCAGATCAGGTCGGCTGGCACTGGAGGCCGGTGGTCACAGCAGCCCTGCATGCCCACCCTTCCCACCAGCCCTGCTCAGCAGCTGACGGGGCCATTCTGGCTGCAGCTTCTGACAACTGGCCACTGGCCTTCCCTGAAATAATGCTTTCTGAATGGCAGCGAAGGGACAGAGTGTTTCTGGAGTGAGTGTGGGGACACTGCAGCCCTCAGGAGCCTTGGCCTTGAGTCAAGCCGTGTTTTCTGGGCCATCGCACGGGGAGTAGCTGCTTGGTCCCGACTTCCTGGGAGCCGGGGAGGGGTGAGCACCTCAGGCTCCTGAGGCTGGTGGGGAGACGTTCCAAGGGGAAAGGCTGGGTGAGGAAGGCAGGCGGAAAAGACAGAACCATCTGGGGAATTATGCCCAAGGCTCAGCTCACTGGGGGCAGGGAGCGTTTCCAGCAGTCCGGGCCCCTTCAGATACAGTCGCCCAACAGATCCAGAGAGACGCCTGCCGTGTGCCAGGAGCACAGTGAGGGGCCCCAGGGCTGGGCTAGCAACTCCTGGGGGAACCCCCACCTAAGGCAGACAGGGCTTACACCCACGTCCAGGCCTTACACTTCCTGTCTGTAATTTGGGCGTAACAAGCATTTCCCGGGTACTCAGTAAGTGCCCAACAGCTCCCTGCCATCCTGTTAGCAGCTGTTCTAGGTGGAAAGTGAGGGCATTTTCATTTCATTTTTTGAACTTCCCCAAGGTTTCCAAACTGCTGTTATGATCAGAGAGAAGGCCACTACTGTGGTTTTAGGTGGAGTGATGGGCCCTGGGTGGGAGTAAGGGGAGGGGGAGGGGCTGGGCCGCCCAGGATTTGTTCATTCATTCCTCTCAGGCTTTGGGAAGTGGGTGGGTGGTATTTCTATGTTGCTGTTTTTTCCAGAAGCTAACGAGCTCCAGATCGGCACACTGGGCAGCCCCAAGGCTGGGGTGGCTGAGGTGGGGCAGTGGGCGTTAGTGGGGAGGTACCAGACTGGACAGGAGAGGAAGACCTCCACTCTTGAGACACAGGAGGGTGTTACAGGGGCTCTTGGCCCAGCTGCTTGGCCTCCCAGTCAGAAAGCCCGCAACAGGGGCAGAAGAGGGAGGGACTCTTGACTCAGTCCTGAGGTCACAGGGCAGGGTCAGACTTCATTGGAGGGAGGAAGGACAGACTGGTTTGTTCCACAGGAGATGCCCAATCATCGGCTAAGGCCTCAGTGTTAAGGCCAAGGTCAGACACAATGACCTTTTTTCTTCACCAAAAGACCCCTGCTCCAGGGCCCACATCAGCCCACATCAGCCCGGCACAAGCGTCACTGGTCCAGGAGCAAGACAGATCATTCATTGATTACCAGGAGCCAGGCCTTCCCTCTGCTAAAAACTCAACCTACCAGCAAAATTATCAGGATGCTGAGTAAGCCTCAGAACAAGACTATGGGGTTGCCAACACCATCCTGATTTTATAAATGAGGAAACTGAGGGCCCACATCAAATAAACAGCAGAGCTAGGATCTGAGGGCAGTTCTGTTCATCTCCCTGAGCCTCTGCCCTTCACCCCAGCACCTTCAGCCCTTCAGCATCTCCAGCCCAAAGGGGCTGGGACCTGGGTCAGGCCCGGCCATGGTGACGCTCAGTCCTACCTCTGCAGAGCCCTGGGGACTGGCTGTTGTAGTTACAAGGGACTGATGAGAGCAGGGTAGAAGTGCCCATCACACAGATGGAGATATGGAGGCCACAAGAGGGAAGGGATCAGCCCAGCTTCACAAAGGGGATGACTGAACTGGGACAAGAACCCAGGGCTGTGGGGTCTCATTCCAGTGCCCTCCCCGCCTTCCCTTCAAAACTCCCAAGGGTCCAAACCCTAGACCTCTGGCCGGCAGAGAACGTGCTGGCTGTGGGATCCGGTACCTGCCCCCAGGAGAGCTTACGGTTTCACAGGGCAGGCAGAGGAGCAGAGTTAATCATCTTCTAAGTGCCCGATAAATGGTCACTCCACAAACTAGTCCATGGGGCCAAATGAGCCTCAGAGAGCTGACGGAAGGACAACATGGAGACCTCCAAAGGCTACTTTCTGTTATAGATTTATTTGATATTTGAACCGAGTCTACAAGTTCAGACCCACGTGTAACGGATTGCTTCATGGTTGTCAGAGGCTAGTGTGCATTATTTCTGAGGATTACATCCAATGACGCAACAAAGAGAACACAAATGGACAAATGGACATAATCATTAAGACGAGACGCTAAAACGTGCCTTAGTGTCCAAGAGTTTGATCTAAGGCGGGGACCCTTCTAAGGTGGGGACCCCGGTGACTGATCTAAAGTGAGCTGGCTTCCCGCCACCAGGCGCTGGGTCGGCTGTGTGTGCCAGGCACCTGGGACAGAAACTGGAACCAGGACTTGGGGACCTGTCTCCCAGCGGCGACTTCCCCACCCGAGCCTGGCCTCCAAGTGTCTGTTCTCAAGGACCAGGTGGTGACAGGGCTGACGTCAGCAGCTGAGGCTAGTAGTGGCTGGCACTGGGCAAACTCATGACACATGATGACATATGAGGTGAGAAAGCAGAGTCCAGGTGAGGTGGCTCCTCTCGGCTCCTTAACACTGTGACGAGGTACGGGGGAGCATGGAGCACCGTTCATCCGGGGATTGGCCAACCCGAGTCTCCTCCTTCTTGGCAGCTCCAGAACATTCTCTTTGGCCAACAGCCACAGAAATGAGAGCCTGCCAAGATACATGGAGGAGAAAGAAAACAAGACACCAAAAACAAAACAAAACAAAACAAAAAACAACCCCCGCCCTAGGAGAGGAGAGGAACAAACAGACTCCTAGACCAAGGTCACACCAGATTCGGAGGACATCCTGCAGCCCGCACCCCGGGGGAAGGAAACACAATTCAGTGTCTTGCTGATCTGCTCAAGGGGAACTGTTGTCCCGCCCTGAGACCCCAGCTCACTGGCCTTTAGTGTCCTCTTTTTTTTTTTTAACGTTTTTTCTTTTTAATACCCAAACCATCAATTTTCAAAGCTTTAAAAATGTTTTTCTTTTTACTGAAAAAAACAAAACAAAACAAAAACTGGTGAGGCAAAGCCCAGTCCTGGCCTTTCTACCTGGTGGCCTGCTTTCCCACTGGCTGTGCCACCAGAGCCCTGCCTGGCACCTCTGGGGTGACCATCCCATAACTGGTTCACCCTGGACTGCTCTACTCAAGTCTGGGTGGGCACTCAATGCTGGCGGCATCACCAAAAAAAGGAAAAGGGAAACAGAGCCCGCCCTTCCTTAAACACCCCCCATCTGAGCTGAACTTTCTTGGGAATGTGTAAGTTATCTGGAGGGAGGGGGCGGGAGGTGGAGAAAATAAATACCAAGAACTAAGTAGGTGTCCCTGGACCTCTGGCATCGGCTCAGCCTGTGGGGCAGACTTGGCCCCAGGGAGGAGGCCGATTGTCCAAACACTGCGCTCCTAGACAAACTACAGGTCTCTGATCTCCCCCCCAGGCACCTGCCCTGGGGGACAGGAGTCTCCGGAGCAGAGGGGCCAGCCCCTCGGGTACTGTCCTGTCGACCCGGCTCAGCTCACATTCGGCCCCAGGTTCCCGCCCTGGCTGAGAGGCTGGTTGTCCCCTGGGTTCCTGGGTCCCTGGGCCTGAGGACTCCTCAGTGGTCCCGCTGCTGGCCGCTCCGGGACGCCCATGCTGGGCACCCACCAGCACTCAGGCCTGCTCCTTGTCGGCCCTCCACAGCCGCTCCTTCACCTCGGGCGGCAGAGTGTTAAACAGGTCCTCCTCCACCACCAGGCCGCTGCGCTTGAGCAGAGGGCACTCGCCCAGCTCCACGGGCAGGCACTCCAGCCGGTTCCCCCGCAGCTCGATCTGCGTCAGGCTGGTCAGCTCGCCCACCCGCGAGGGCAGTGACTGCAGCACGTTGTTGCCCAGGTGCAGGGCCCGCAGCTTCCGGCACTGGAAGAGCTCCGGGGGCAGCGCCTCGATCTAGAAGGGAGAAGCAGAGGGCGGAGTGAGGCGGCTGCGGCTCAGACCCGGGCCTCTGGGCCCCAGGCTTCCCTCCCCTGGGCACCAGTACCTTCTCTGATGCCCATTCCGGCTACCCAAGACAATCGGGCCCAAGTCTGGCTAACATACCCCTGTACTTTAGATCTCAGCTCTGCAGCCACTTCCTCTAGGAAGCCTTCCCTGTCTGCCTGGGTAACCTATGGTGCCCTGTCCCCACAATAGCACTGCTCCCTCCGTGGTGAAACTGCTTGTCACCCTTAGACT